TGGCTGGTTACAAACAGCAAAAATTTGCTTATTTATTCGTTAACGATCAGTGGAAGCTAAGCAGAAACCCGAAAAAAGGGCCCCGAAATGTCCGCAAATATCGCAAAAATCGCACAAGTAACAAGGATTTTTCTTGGTAGCCAAAAACACCCATGACAAATATCGCAAATATAGCAAAAATAACAAATGTAACAACATTCAAGACTTAGAAAGCAAAGAAGCCAAGAAGGGCCCCGAAATGTCCTCAAATATTGCAAAACTCGCAAAAGTAACAAGGATTTTTCTTCCAAGCTAAAAACACCCGTGACAAATATTGCAAAAAATCGCAAAAATAACAAATAAAACAAAATTCCAGACTTAGAAGGAAAAGAAGCCAAGAAGAGCCACAAAATGTCCGCAAATATCGCAAAACTCGCAAAAGTAACAAGGATTTTTCTTGCTAGCTTAAAACACCAGTGACAAATATCGCAAAAATCGCAAAAATAACAAATGTAACAAAATTCCAGACTTAGTAGGCAAAGAAGACAAAAAGGGCCCCGAAATGTTCGCAAATATCGCAAAAATGGCAAAAGTAACAAGCATTTTTCTTGCTAGCTGAAAACACCCATGACGAATATCGCAAAAATCGCAAAAATAACAAATCTAACAAGAGTCAAGACTTAGAAGGCAAAGAAGCCTAGAAGAATCTATGCCAATAATGGGTCAGACTGTATCTGTGACAATGTAATTTTCATTTTTTGGTTTTTTTGTAGCTTCAAACGTCCACAAAGGGTATTTCTTAAATCAGAGGTTGTAAGTGAAGCAATCATGTTATGACATTTTGCATTTGTATGGCCTAGGTCTTTTGGTCTCTTTTCTCAGTGGTTTTGTTATAATTGTTCATGATTTATGAGTAATAGAACGAAGCACACATAAATGCACAATTGGATCAATTGTTATTTAAAATAAATGGATTGGCATACATATATAAATAACATTCATTGGTGTGGTTGTTGTTTAACTATAAGCCTTGATTTAAAAGGGAAGGATTACCAAATCACTGGCAATCCCTGTTTAAAAAACTTTGGGTATTGCCCAGCAACATTCATGTAAAATGCCCGTTTTCTTTCCCCCAATGTGTCTTGATATTTTGGAACCATTGTTATGGTGGGTTCTTGGCCATGAAAAGTCCTGCTACCACCCCCTTTTATTGCTTAAAATTTGCCCCCTTCTTTGGGCGACACTCCTTTCTATGCATTGTAGCTGTATGTTGATGGAAGAACGAAGCATACACAGATTGATATTACAGTATTTTGCTACTGTCAGTAATTATAAATAGTGTCACGTTTGTAACTGATGATTTCATTTTCGTGAAAATGGAACGCATTACAAAATTTACTGAACAAGAACGTATCCCAGTTAAGATAACCATTAGTATTAGGGAAAAACAGTGATGCGCGGGTGTTCTTGGCCCTTTCTTGCCCTACAAAAATTCTTGCCTATTCTTGTTAGTCTAGCGCAATTTGTGGCATTTTGCCATATTTGTTACTAAATCTTCTCACATAGCAGTAAAATTCTCGTTGCTTTCGGCAATCCCTGTTTAAAAAACTATGGGTATTGCACCGCAACATTCATGTATAATGGAGGGATCTTATGACCCGTTGTCTTTTTCCCCAATCTGCTACTCTTGATATTTTGGAACGATTGTTATGATGGTTTGTTGGCCATGAAAAGTTCTGCTACCACCCCCTTTTATTGCTTAAAATTTCCCCCCTTCTGTGAGCGACACTCCTTTCTATGCATTGTAGCTGTATGTTGATGGAAGAACGAAGCATACACAGATTGATATTACAGTATTTTGCTCCTGTCAGTAATTATAAATAGTGTCACGTTTGTAACTGGTGTAAAAGTTCCGCTACCACCCCCTTTTATTGCTTAAAATTTGCCCCCCCCCTCTGTGAGCGACACTCCTTTCTATGTATTGTAGCTGTATGTTGATGGAAGAACGAAGAATACACAGATTGATATTACAGTATTTTGCTCCTGTCAGCAATTATAAATAGTGTCACGTTTGTAACTGGTGTAAAAGTTCCGCTACCACCCCCTTTTATTGCTTAAAATTTGCCCCCCCCCTCTGTGAGCGATACTCCTTTCTATGTATTGTAGCTGTATGTTGATGGAAGAACGAAGAATACACAGATTGATATTACAGTATTTCGCTACTGTCAGTACTTATAAATAGTGTCACGTTTGTAACTGATGACTTCATTTTCGCGAAAATAGAACGCATTACAAAATTACTGGACAAGAACGTGTACTCATTTATCCTTTTACGAGCCAGATATTTTACATAAACAGTGACATCATGCAAAGATTTACCTATAACGAAAAAAATAGAGATGAATTTTTACAGTATAATGCAATCAATTTGACATCTCGAAAAAATGGCTCGAACTTCCGCTAAATCGGAAAACCTTATTGCGTATTTGCTTTAACACGATATGATTTTTGCGACATTTGT